TGAGACACACAGGGGACCAAAACAAACTTAACATCTCTGTCTTCAGGGTTTTACATTCTAGCAGGGGAAGACAGAGTTAAAAATAAGCATAACAAGTAAAATGTTTAGTGTGTTAGAAGTTATTAAGTGCCTTAGGGAAAAGGAAAAAGATCAGAGTAAAGGTGAAATGCTGTATGGGTGTGGGTGGCAGCATTATGATGGGTAGACTCAATTACGCTGAGGAGAAGGCTACAGGGACATGAAGGAAGTGTTAACTGAGCCTTGCTCATATCTGGGAGAAGTGCAGTCAAGGTACGGAAAGGTTGGAGCAGGGGCCCTGAGATGAGGAGAGCCCTGCAAGGGTAAGGATGGAAGGAGCCAGATGAGGGAGCCAGGTGGGAAGTAAAGGAGGAAAAGGCAGAGAAGTGATGGTGCTGGGGCAGACTCTGGCCCGGCTGTGACACATGAGCCTTCTGAAGGACTTTGGCTTTCACTTCAAGTGAGACAGGGAGGCAGTTTAGGAATTTTGAATACAGAAACAGCACAATCTGGCTTTTTAAAAAAGATTACCCCGGAGAGATGGAGACAGCAGTGGAAGCATCATTTTTGGATTCCCAAAACTATGAATTCCCCAGATATGGCAGTGAATACCTGTAATCTCAGCACTTGGGAAGCTGAGGCAGGATTCCAAGTTCAAGGCTAGCCTGGGCTACATAGTGAGTTCAAAGTCAGCCTGAGCTACATAGCAAGACCCATGTCTAAAAGAAAGACAGAGACAGAGAAAAAAAGAGGGAGAGAGAGACAGAGAGGGAGAGGGAGAGGGAGGCTAGAAGAACCAAAAACTCTTGGATAACATTTAGTTCAAAACTAGGTAATGCACATGTGTAAATACTGAATAGTTTCTCTGGTGTGAATAAACTATAATGCTACATAATATCCTAATGATATAGTTGACAATGTGAAATAAGAAGAAAGGGGCTAAAGGTGTAGGGAAAGTGGGAAGGGTAGGGGAAAGCTAATAAGGGAAAATAAAAAAATATGAGAAAATGAAAAAATGGAAATGAAGTGTTTATAAAGGGAGAGGGGAAGAAGGGGTGAAGGGAGGGCAGAGACAAGGGGAAAAAATGAAAACCAAGACCTGTCATGTAAAGGTACAAGATCCCAGTAATGAATGTAACTGCACTGTATACCTAAAATGTACCAATAAACTCAATGAGGAAAAACAAAACTAGGTGATGGGATATTCTCACAAATCTCAAATGGGCAATAACACACCATCCCCCATCCTCAGCCACAAGACCTGCATGGCTCCAGCATCTAGGCAGGGGAAGGGATAGGGTGTTTTGTGGCCCAGGGGTGGGAGGACCAAAATATAGTCCATAGTTGTCCCCTGGCAGGCCCAGGAGGTCAGGAGCGAAGCATATGCTGGGGCTGGTAGTGTGTGGCGTGGCCTGCAGTGAGGCCCACAAGTAGCACACTTTACCCTGGCATCTTGGGAAGCTAAAGGCACAGGATCCTTTCCTGGGCATGTCCACAGCTGACACTGCTGGGAGTCCATTCAAACTGAATGGTGCAGGAGCACCCAATAGAGCACCCAATAGAGACAAGGAAGAGAAGCTCTGCAGCAAAGTGGTAGAATAGAAATCAGGAAACCCCCGAAGCCAGCCACTGTGGGATTTTTACTTTGTTTTGTATTGATTTTTCGTGGTGCTGGAGATTGAAACTGGCCTTGCATATTGTAAGCAAGGACTCCACCATGGAGCAATGTCCCCAGCTCTGCTTTGTTGGACTTTTTAATACAACATAGTACAGGAGGGAGCTCGATGAAATTAGAAAAGCTGTCTGAATTAAGGCTCCTTCTAGTGTTTGGTTTTTTGTTTTTAATTCCATAAAATGAGCAACAGATGGGCTGGAGATTTGGCTCAGTGGCTCTGCTGCCTGCCTCGCAAGCACAAGGTCCCAAGCTTGATCTCTGGTACCAAAATGATAAAAATAAAGAATGAGCCGCAGAAATGTATTGAATTCAAAACCAAACAAAATTTTGTATAAGAAAAACTTAGTATTCATATAAATCATGACATTGTGCCAGGAAGAAATGCTTAAAAAAATAAAAAACAAAAAATGGTAGCATTCTTTTATCAAAATAATAATAGAATTAGATGAATGTAATAGGTAAATAAGGTGCCAAAACTAAGGAAATAGAGATATAAAGGGGAAAAATGTTTAAGGCCAAACTAGAATGAATACAAAAGTAAACATACACAATAAATAATAGAAATAGAAAGCAAAAGGCAGAAAATTTTACAAATCAAAAAGTTATGAAAGCCAGGTGTGGTGGTGCACACCTATAATCCTAGCATCTGGGAGGCTGAGGCAGGAAGATTGCTGTGAGTTGAAGGCCAACCTGAACTGCACAGCAAGATCCTGTCTCAAACAAAATAAAACCAAGATGACTGGGGATTTAGCTCAGTGGTTCCACTGTCTGCCTCACAGGCTCAAAGTCCTGAGTTCTCTCCCCATAGTTCCCCCCAAAAAAGACAAAACAACAAAAGCAATAAAAAATTTAAAAAGTACTTAAAGTGATAAATATTTAGGCAAAAAGTACGATGTCAAAAAAGTACAATATCCACATAATAGGACTCCTAAAGAAGAAAACCAAAACAAAGAAACACAGTAAATAATAAATGCAGTAACTCAAGCAAATGTTCTTAAATTTCAAAACAACAAAAACACTTAGATTTGAAACTATATATTGTAAAAGCATATAATGTACATAGGAACAAGCAAAATGAAGATGCCTATGGTTATTCTTGATAAGCCCATCTCCATAAATTCATAGGAAAATATCCTTGCAGCTGGGTGTGGTGGTGTATGCCTGTCATCCCAGCAGTCAGGAGGCTGAGGCAGGAGGATCACCATGAGTTTGAGGCCAGCCTGGACTACATAGTAAGTTCAACAGTGGTCTGAACTACATAGAGAGATCTTGTCTCAAAAAAAAAAAAATTATAGTCAGGTATCATAGTGCATGCCTGTAATCCAGCACTCTGGGAAACTGAGGTAGGAGGGTCACAAATTAGAGAGTGCAGCCTAAGCAATTTAAGGGCTTAGTGAGACCCTTCTCAAAATAAAAAGTAAAAAGGGCAGAGGATGTAGCTCAGATTGAGGGCCTAAG